AGTTACCCAAAGAGTACCAGCCAGTGGTTTTCACATCTTGAAAGTCTAATGAATTTCACAAGGCAGCTTTCCTGGAGCAGTTGCACAATATAGTAACATTATTTTGCAGCATGAATATCTAATTTCTATTTGCTTCCTTTTGTCAGTAAATATAACTTCCTGGTAAACCATCTAATTCGATTTGTCTTAGTTTCAGTTATTACTTTACCTATACCATAGAGTCAGCCATTCATAAAGAAAATCAACACATTCATAAAGAAACTCATTCATAAATAAAATCAAAACATACACCTGAAACTTACAATAACAGAGCACAGGACAGTACACAACATAGACAGGAGGTTTCAAACTAGCACTGTCCAGGCACTTTACTTTAAAATAAGTGTTCCAAGCAAGTTTCCCACACCTGAAGATGAGCAGTTACACCTGGCATACCTGATGGAGCTACAAGAGAGCTGGAGAGGGGCTTTTCATAAGGACCTGGAGTGACAGGACAAAAGGGGAAGGGCTTGAAACTGGCAGGGAAGGGTTAGAGCAGAGATTCGAAAGAAATTCTTCCCTGTGAAGGTGGGGAGGCCCTGGCACAGGTTGCCCCATCCCTGGAAGTGTCCAAGGCCAGGTTGGATGGGGCATGGAGCAACCTGGGATAGTGGAAGGTGTCCCTGCCCATGGCAGGGGGTAGAATGAGAGGAGCTTTAAAATCCCTTCCAACCCAAACCAGTCTGTGATTCTATGGCCAAAAAAAAGCACTGAATTACAGCTCCAGCTCAATAGGAACTGGACAGGAAGTTTTCCAAAGATAAAATCCGAGACATCGGGTGCAGATCTTCAGGCGGGCGGGAACGGGACAGCCGAACTGAGAAGCGGAGGATGCACAGAGCGCGACTCCCCCGATGCTGAGCGGAGCGCGGCCGGGCAGGATATTCCGCCGGGATGGATATTCCAAGCATTTCAAGTACGCGCTCTGCAAAATCGCTGATCGTCTTATGTAAGGCTGCGAGACGCAGCGACCGCAGGCAGCGGAGCTCACGGCAGCAGCCGCTGACCCTAAAAGCCCTTCGCTTATACAAAAACACACCGCTTAAAAGCCATTTTTTCTCGCCCGTTTTTCCCCCGCAGGGTTCGAGCACCGAGCCCGGGCGGGCTCCCTGCACCGACCCAGCCTTACCTTGTCCGCCGGGCGGGCCGGGCTGGGGGTCCCCGCGGGAGATGTCCGGCAGCTGGGAGGCGCTGGCGCTGGGGAAGGAGGAGGAGAAGGAGGAAAAGGAGGAGAAGGAGGAGGAGAGCGCTGAGAGCCGAACGCCGGAGGGGCTCGTCCCGCTGACCCCGCGGCCGGCGGGCCCAGCCCCGCGCCCCAGCGCATCCCCCGCCGCGCAGCCCCCGCCGTACCTGCCCTCCAAGGCCAGCGGCAGCGTGGGGTCCTCCCCCGGCAGCGAATCCATGGGACGCTCCCGCGGCTCCTGCCGCCTTTGTGCGAGGGTTTGGCGGCTTCCCTGGAATTCAAACGCCCGCAATCGCCGCCGCCATCTTTGCGTCGGCACAGCTGAAGCCGCCGAAGCCGCCGCGGGGGCGCGCAGAGGGCGGGCGCTATAGAAACTGAATGGGAGCCGCCATGTTTGTTGCGGGCAGCCGGGGAAGGCGGGCGGGCAGGGCGCCATGTCGGCTGAGGGCAGGGCGGGGCGGGTGCCAGATGGGCAAAGTGGGAGGGAGCTGCGGGGCGCCATGTTGAGTGAGGGAAGGATCCTGAGAGAGACCTCCGCTGCTCCCCGGGCCCCGCTCCAAAAAAATACCCCTTTGGAAGAGGCTTTTGCAGGGATGCGCTAGGGCCCCGGGCTCCTGCTGGGTCTGGCAGAGCCGCTGGAGCTGATAGTTTCCATGTTCCCCCCCCTCCAGCGCCAAGCCGTCATCAGGCTTGGCGGGAGAAATAATGACGCTTTAGTTCCAAATTGTAATCGCTGCTCTGTGGAGCTGGCAGGGGCGAAGCCAGCTGCTGTCAGCACCCATGCAGGCTCATTTTGAAACAGTCTGGGTTTGTTGGTTTTTTTTGGGGGGGTTTCTTTTAAAGCAAAAGTCTAAGCACGTCGCCTCTCCCGTTGTTTGGTTGGTTGGTTTTTCGGGAGAAAATGTGATTACGTTGAACATTTCGGAATAGTGACAGCTGGAAATGCCAAACTGGATTACATGCTGTGTTGTCCCCTCCTACACCGTGTACCCGAGGGCATGGCCATGGTGACCGTGCCGGAGCCTGTGGAGCTCCAGACATCCCCTTGCTGCCCGTCCTGCTTGCCCTCCTTTTGAATTCATTATCTGGGAGCTGTGTGTGTAGGACTGAAATATTTCCCTGCCATATCTACAGCGTCACCATGCTGGGACTGGCTCTCAGTGTTCTGTGCAAGACGAGGAAGCTCCATCCATCCCAGCGGGACACTCGCCTTACCCGCGGGATGTAACCGTGTGCCGTAGATTTGGTTTCCTCTTCTAGATTTGGTTTCCTCTTCAGTACCACTGAAGAGTCAGGTTTCACTCACTGTGTCAGTTTTCACTCACCATCCTCTGGGCTGTCTCAAAGGGACCTTTACCCGGCCAGGAAATCAGCCACAGACAAGGGCTGACCATAGGCCGTGGGTAATTCTCATTCCAAATTGTCCTGGTGCCCTGTGAGCTCCGTTTCCTCCATGCACCAGCACCACCTCACTGTTCAGAACACACTGGTGCTGTCACCTGTCAAATGCCCCAGGCTGGTGGCAGCAGCCCCTGCAGCTCTGGGTGTGTAGGGTCATGGTGGGCTTCCCATCCCTGTTTCAACCTTTCAGCTTTATAAGTACAAGTGCAGGATGGAGCAGCTGTCAGAGCCCCCAAACTGCCAGGAAATTCCAGGTACTGCTTAGCACAACTAAGCTCTTAATCCCATCTCCTGTCCAATTTGACATGCCTCACGCTTTGCCTTTGGGTTCTGGTGACTCCAAGGGATGTTTGGTCCCTTCAACTCCCCCATCACGGACCTTGGGAGACGCTGCTCACCTTATGTGACTGGGCCCCTTCTGCAGTGGCCCCTGCCAGGATGAAGTTAAGTTCCCAAAATCCCGTCAGCCATATGGCACCAGATCTGACCAGCCAGGCTGAAACGTGGCTTCCCTTCTTTACAGAGCAGATCTTCATCAAATGAACGAGTCCATTCACGGAGAGGATGGTACCAATTTGCTCTTGTTTAAGGTATCAGTGAGGTGTGATTGTATTTGATGCAGGTCTTTAAATCGGTGTCCATCAGCCACATGTACAGAGCAAACCACTCCCTGCTCGTGTGCTGTGGGCACACACGGCACCTCTGCCTGCAGAGCCATGGTCCGTGTCCAACATACTTTATTCCAGAGGAAATCAGCAAGGCCCTCCTTGGGAAGTTAATTGCTTCATGACGTGTTTGTCCACTGGATAAGGATATGTATATATAGAGATATATCCATGTCTATCTTCCCTGGAAGTGTTCAAGGCCAGGCTGGATGGAGCCCTGAGCAACCTGTTCTTGTGGAAGGTGTCCCTGCCTATGGCAAGGGGTGGAATCAGATGATCTTTAAGGTCCCTTCCAGCCCAAATCATTCCAGGATTTTATAAATCTATGTATATACAGACAGATAGGATGGGAAATATCCCTGGGTTACTGCACTGCCCAATGTTTTGAAACCTGCAGCAGCACCAGGAAGCTGAGAGGGGCAGAAAGGCCTGGGAAATGCGTTCAGAAGCAGTTAACAACTCGCCTTATGCTAATCTGCTTAATGTTGTTTAACCTTAGCTTAATTAGCAGCACATTTGGGGAGATTACACTAAATCCTCACGCGGAGAAGCTGTGTTGGAACTCCTCTGCTTCTCAAGGCAGCCGAGGTCCTTCCCACATCGGGAAGAGAGTCCTAAAGGGAGTCTGGGAAGGAAGTACTTATGGTGAGTGTGGTGTAGGGATGAGTTGAGCACAAGCTGCCCTGGAGCAGGATGAGAGCCAGCTGCTCACTGTGCTGTGCTGTGGGGGCACAAGGAGGGTGGATGTCACCGTCAGCTGAACACGGGTCCTCCTCACCCTCCTGCTCTCACTCCCCACTCTGGGGACCTGGTTCAGCTCTCAGCTCTGCCTCCTCCTCTCACAGCTCACAGCAAGATTCTTCCTAACTTAAGTCATACACAGTCCAACTGCTCTGCTAATGCAAATCAGGTCCCAGTAAACTCCCTGGAATTTCACTGCTGTGGCCCTTACTTATATAGCTCTGGCTCAGCTAAACATTTGAATGAACACTTAAAACCAAGTGCTCGCTTGGTTTACGAAGCCTTACCTCTCCAAGTTCTTTGCTTAATAAGGGCTGCAGAGTCAGACACAGCTTTCAGCAGAAAAGCTGAGCCTTTAGCAGTTGTATTTGCAAATAAATCAATTTCTTAACGCTGCCAAGGGAGACAGAAATACAAGTTTTCCACAGACACTCCCTGAAGTGTTCAAAACTACTGACGCCGCACATGTGGATTTCTGAGTATCTATAGCAGAAATGGCCTTTGAAAGACATTTGTGGTCACGAAGAAAAATCTGATCCAACATCCTCATCCCATTTCTAGCCTTGCTCTGAGGGTTTTGTTGTTAATGACTCACATCTCCTGACAAAATGTGTCCGTGTGAATGATATAGAAAACAGTGGGAAAGCAGACATTGACTGTGGAGATCCCAAACATGTCACTATGAGCAGCTGAGGGCTGGGATGGTTCATAGTAGGCACAAGAGATCAGAGGACTCATTTTTTAGCTGGATTTTCCGACACAGGATGTCAACTGTACTTATGAATATCTGATGGTAAAAAACATTTTTGTGCCTTGGTTCTCATCTCACATACAGGGCTATAATGAAGGAATAATTCTCTTGGAACAAATATCATTACCACGATGAGATTAGATTCAATCCTTTCTGTCAGTGGAAAGACTCCTGCTGAACTTCAATGAACAAAACCACAGATGCAAAAATCCGAGTGGCATAGATACAAATTATATACATTTATTTTTATTCATTTTAAATAACATTCTTCTGTATAAATTCTGACATATATTCAAATCATACACTTTTTTTTTTTCTTTTTAGAAATGCATTTGTAAGCATAGCATATGCTTGGGAGACGCCGTGTTTGGACGTGTAGTGAGACTGATGGGTTTCAGTTGGGAGCAAGTACAATTTTTAAGGCCCACATTTTTCTTATTTTAATCCATTCCTCTGACACACAAAGAGCAGAGTCCTGTGGGAGCTCATTCTAAAACTTCACCTTAAAGAGAAAAGTATTTTTATATCCTTTATTTAAAGGAGACTGTGCAAACTTCCTGCCACGTTTACATTGCCTGTAACACTGAAGGTAACAATGCTGCACAGCAGTGGTTAACTGGCCCAGGATACCTGAAGGAAGCTCAATACATCCCCTCCTCTTTCCTAAATGCGTCCAGTGTGCTAAGTCTGCTCAGCCTGGTCGAAGGGAATTACCATTCCAGGGGCTGACATCTCCTGACAGCTCCCCAGGGCCAGCGCTCCTCGCAGCTATTTCCAGCCACGGTGGTTCACAAGACTCGAGATCATCTATTCTCATTAACCCAACCCCTTCTTGCACGTCTGCTGCGCTCTGTGCACACCAAATGCTCTCCCAGCCTGCCCCCATGCCTGACACACCTTTGTGCCCTTTACCTGCTCCAGTCTGGCCTCTTGCCTTTACTGTGGGACTGGGCTCACCCCAAACGGACCAGCCCGGCCCTCATGACCCCAAGGATCGTGTCTTGAGGTGGTTTTCCGCACCCATCCAGCCTCCCCTGCCCTGTTGTGCCACCTCTGAGCTCTGCAGCTGCTGTCCCATGCCATGACCCCGTTGTCTGGGACATCCTCACCACTGCCCCCCTTGCAGAAGGTGCTGCCCGGTGGCCTCTCAGGAATGCCACATGTACATGTACTGCCACCTCAGCCCTACAAGATGCCTCCCCCTGCCTCGCTGGCTGCTGAGCTGGGCCTCAAAGAAGCCCTGAGAGTCCATTTCTGGTTTACCTGCCCTTACCCCAGCGTGGCCTGAGCACTTGGGAAGCCTCATGACAAGCAATGACACAGGTCATGGTCCTGGTGACCTTCGTTACCCAGCATAGGTGTTTGAGCTCTGCACTGTCTCCAGTCAGAGCTGACTGGAAGCAGAACTAGCTCAGCCTCTTCCTCCCCTCTGTGGTACCAGGGGAAGCTGCATGATTGATGAGAGCACGGAGGATCTGGTCTCACATCACCAAAGCCAAACACAAAGCTGTTTATTCCTTCCTTGCTGAGGCATCGATCTCCTCCTCTAACCGTTGTTCTCGTGTGCCAAGGCCTGGGTGGCAGGAGGTGGCTGGTGGGCCCCTGCTGAGTCATTCTGCCACCTGACAAGCCTTGTGCCAGTGCCACATCCTCGCTGTGCCCTGCTAAAGGACATCCTGTGCCTTCCTCTGCCATCCAAGCCTGGGCAGACAGGTCCCTCCTGCCCACCCAGGCTTCCCATCACATCTGCCAGGCCGTCTACATCCCTTCATCCAGATGTGCAACCCACAGACAACAGCTGTACCACCCCCCCTTTGCATCCTGACCTCCCCATCTGCCCATACACAGAGTGTTTGGAGCACTCTGGAGGTCAGAAGCAGCCCAGGTGCCAACACCTCCTGTGCTGTGGCAGGCAGGGACTAGGAGGGCTCAGCACCTGAGCCCACGCTTTGCTTGAGCAGATGGTCCTCATTTCCACAGCGAGACAAAAATCCAAGTCTGTTCCTGTTACAAAGCAGCCCAGTCATACCAAAATTTGAAAAGAGGTGTTTTGTGGCAAGAGATTAAAAGATCTACTAAAGTATTCTAGAAACATTAAAGTGAACGGTCTGTCCTTCACTTTGCCCTCCAGTATCAGTCCCCAAAACTAACACTTCCTAAAATCACCTTACCCCACCCTATGAAGTGACCAAGTGCAAGTGTATCACTAGATTACCACTGCTACATAATTATAATTTTGAGGAAATTTTCTATTTCAGCACCACTCTGCTCTTCAAGAGTTCGGTGAGTAACTCCAGGATTAGCAATATTCAGATTTTCTCCTCCAGTCCTCCCCCACTTTATAACTAAAAGTAACCCTTTTATGAATGACATCAACCAGATTTATTACCTAAACTATAGGACCTCACCCAGGCCCACAGCAGGCAACAGCAGCTTTTCCATTGGGCCTATATGCAATTCCACACTCTGCCCTCACCATTTCCCTTGGTCAACCTCAACTATTTCCCTCCTGCCTTGCTGTGCCTCATATTCAATTCAAATTTTGAGGCAGAAATGGCATCTTTGTGCATGTGTTTAAAGCACCTATTTCCCCCCCCCCCCAAGCCTCCAAAGATAAGAAAAGCCCCCATGCAGCACCAGCAAGCAAACAAATAACCACCATGTTCTCCCTACCATTTTTCACCTGGAGAAACACCCACTTTTTCCTGGCTCTGAGGATGCATCAGCCTGCTGACCTTTAGCAGCTGCTTAAAGTGACCCTCACCATTAACTGCTGGTGAACACGCACAGCAACACAGCTGCAGCTCTGGGGTTGGGCAGGAGCGAGGTGAAATATTTGTTGCACGCCCTGTTTCAATGCAGTGGGTTGATTTCCAGGCGTGGGACCCCGTCTTGAGGCTCACAGGCTGCAGGGACCAACTTGAAGAGCTCCCTGGTGTGACCTCCCTGTGCTGTGCTGCCTGTTTGTTGTTCTCCCTCTGCAAACAGCCCACCAGCCTCCCACAGAAATCAGGGGACTCTCTGAAACCTGTTCCCTGCAGGTTTGTTTGACAGCTGATTCCCCCCCACCACCTTGGGGCTTCGTTGAATTCCTGAAATCACCATTGGTGCACTTTTACCTGTGGAGCCCTGAAGTGCAGATCTGCCCCCTGTGAGCTCTTCATCTCAAAGCTGTTTCCACCCAAATCCAGGAGACCTTTGCTTTTGCCCCTCGAGAGGCCAGGAGGCTGTGCTCAGCCCTCTGGCACACCTGCCCCATCGGAGATGGCAAAGGGAACCCTTCACCCGATGAGCAGCTGCTTCAGAGAACCTCAGCCATGGAGACCAGGCTCTCAGTGTGTTCGTGACAGTGAATTTGCATTTTGGATAGAGACTTAAAAGCAAACAACAGATTGGTACATCCGCTTTTTGGACACCTACTCGGCCCTAGTCATGGCAACACTGGTATTCACTCTATATTTAAAGGAATGGCAAAATTTGACAGATGCAAGTAGGGAGCACTCACAATTTCTCTAAAAAAGAAAGTTATTCAATGACACTAGAAGAAAAGCTTTAAGCAGTCGTTGTTTGCCAGAGGCCCAGCTCCAACAATATTGCCATCTCATTTACAGTATTTTAAACAATCCTCGTGTTTTGTTTTTGTTTCTGTTTTTTTTTAGCAACGCCACTAACCTCTGTACAATTAAAATCTAGAGGATAAAACATGACCTGGGGAGTAGGGGAGGTTGAGGAAGGGGTTCATGGTTTTGTTGTTGGGGTTTTTTTTTGGTTGGTTGGTTGGTTGTCTTTTTTACAAATAATTACAAATACAATTCCAAGAAGATATATTACATTTTATATACAGAACACACCATTTCTATCAGGGTAGGGTATTAAGCCTGGCTTTTATTTTTACACGGCAACCCTGAGATGTCTTGTCGTCTTCCCTTGCACAGAAACTATACAAGTTCATTAACTCCTTCTAGAAAAAACTGGATTGCTATGTTTTAATAGCATCATCACCCTGTATAAATACTCAGAAAGGGAAAAGCTTAGTCTCTTCCCTAATTCAAATGTTCTCATGATTTTTTTTCCTGTTTCCCCGCTTACTGGAAACAAATAATGGTGACTTCTTTTCAAGTGTGCAACTCACTCCTCTACTTGCCTTTTGGTAGCACAGTGAACAATTATTTCCCTTTTTTTTTTGTCCTCCTTTCAAACAAATTTCTATCAGGAACCAAAATGATGCCCTTCCAAAAGGTTTGTTTCCTGATATTCCACTGTTAATTCATGAGCTACTTCTCAAACTAAAGGATGCAGACACAAGTGTTGGGTTGGCTGGAAACCAAGTAGCTTCTGATTCCTCAGGGGGGGTTCTGCTCTCTCCACCCCACCACCTCTTCATAACAAAATGTTTTCAGATCAGCACAATCAAGTGTTTGACAACAGTGAATTCTATGGATCTTTATGGAGAACGGGACACTGAATGCATTTCCCCACGTTACCTGGAATTCGGATGTACCACACTGCCCTCTGTTCACCTGCAAGCTACAGCACGCCCAGCATTAGAGTATCTGAAGAGCGAATTCCTCTGCCTGGAGCCTTGGCACGGATCCTGATACCCCTTCCACAAGCCCTGTAGCTTTTTGAAGCCAACTTTGGAATAGCTGGATCTCTCCTAAGCTTTATAATTATGCATGGGAGTTGTCAGCGTTAGCTGTCCGTTCGGTGCCACTTCATTCCCGTCGTCTTCCAGCAGCCCCGACACGTCGGCGTTGGGAATGCTGTCGTGGTAGCTGCTGAAGCTGATGTTGTCCTCCTTGAGCTCAATGGTCCAAAAAGGGGCGTTCAGTTTTCGGTTCTGGTACTCACGGTACATGTAGACGGCACCCACAAATCCCATCAGCAGGACCACAACGATGATGATCACTGTCAAGATAATGATGTTGAACTGAGTCCACGACACGTCTGCGAAGGCAGAGGTGCTGTTGTCAGAGGAGCTGACAGGAAATATCGTCTGTAGAGTTGTTGGTGACAACGTACTGTTCAGCACTGCCGTGGAAAATGATGTTGCCTTGGTGGCATTTGGAGCAGAAGTTGTGAACTCCCTTGTTTCTGGGCTGGGAGTGGCTTCTACAAAACAAATAAGAAATGATCAATAAAAATCTGCTAAGCTGGAATCAAACACTAATGGAAGAGATTTGACAAGAGATTTATATCACAGTTGTTGTGCCAATTAAGTCTACACTGTTAAAGCTGTTTTGTTTGGGGTTTTTTTAATAGTCTACAAAATGGTTAGCCAGGATTCGGTTTCAAGATTTATTGAACTAATTCTGTATGCTAAGTGCCCACGGACTGCAGCATCCCTATGAAAAATCTGGTGCTGGAGGGATAAGTGAAGCAGTCAGGATTCAGCGTTCCATACGTGAGCTTGTGATGAGAGCAAGTCACCCAGCCCAGCTCCTGCTTAGCCCATGAAAACGGGGCTTTACCAAGCTCAGCTCGTTTGGACTGTGAACCAACGTGTGACTTGGTGTCTGTGTGGCTGCACAGTCAGGCTGGGAGGACACAGCGACTCCAGGAGCTTAAACCCCTCACAGCCACTGCACCAGATGTAGGATTATTTTCATGATATTATTTCTGCCTTACTTGTACAAACAAGAAGATCAAAACTGAAAAAAATGAACCACAAGTATTCTGCCGTCACAGCCTTTAGCAACACGTTTCACTGTTTGCACTGCTTTAGGTAAAAGGGCAAAATAACCTCAGTTCTGCTTCTGAGTGAGGAAGTTGTACACAAACCTCATGGAAACCCCCTGCCTGCACAGCCAGAAGCAGAGGGTGACCAAATCACAACAAAAGAAAAGACTGTGGATGTTCTTATGAGGCTTTCAAACACAGCAGGGGCCAGCTGGGATCCTGAGCTGGTTTCAGCTGCTGCCACAGGAGCACACGTGAAGGATGAGAACGTGGGCACTACCAGAGTATGCCACAAGCTCTGCCTTCTTCTTGGCACTAAATATCCAAGAATCATAGAATCATAGAATTAACTGGGTTGGAAGAGACCTCCGAGATCATCAAGTCCAACCCTTGATCCAAACCCACTGTGATTACACTCAGTGCCACATCCAGCCTCATCTTAAAAATCTCCAGGGATGGTGAACCTTGCTTCTAGCAGCCATGGGATACTCCATCCTCAGATCTAGGAGTCAGTCAGCACTGGAGATCTCAGAAGTGGGATGCAAAGTCATTACGCCTGCATCAAACCAACTGAGCCACAGGCCTTAGAGAGCACCATAAATCCTGAGTATTAAGCTCACAAAAGTAACTAATAAAGCATTTCCTCACATGAATAACCTGATCTATTTTAGACTCTCAAGCCCAGGCAGCAGGAACCCTCCAGAAGCTGAAGCCTCAATCAGCCAGAATGTTTTCTACACCTATTGCTCCACAGGACTCTCTTCACCCTCTTTCCCACTCTCTTCCTGCTCTCGGAAAAGCGACTTCATTTTAAACCCACGAACAGCTGCAGCAATTACAGCTGATGGTGCTGTACAGATCCAGCTCTCCTGAACATCTACTAATTATGACTGAGGAGGAGAGTCACTTCCGAAGGACTAATTTTGCACTGAGTTGCATCTCCAATGGCAACAGGAGCTGGAAATACTCAGCACATCTCCTGCCACGGGTCCTCAGGGGAACTCCCACGAGTTAACTTTGGGCTGTCACATTCCCAGTTCATGCAATGAAGAAATGCCTCTGGAATGGGCATCACACACCTGACTGAGCCTCCTGCTCAGAGTCCCCTCCCTGCAGCAGCTCCTCTATTATCTGCAGGTCCTGCCTTAGGCTGATAAGGACACTCAGGATGCTGAATGCCAGAAGGTGTTTCTCTATGGGATAATGGGCAGAATTCTGCAGTAGGAAGCAAAATGACATAACCAAGAGGTTCCTGGAAAACCTTTGACTTTGGGGAAAGGGCATGAGGAATTCAGTCATCCTTCCCAAATTCCTTCATCAACACTCAATCCTTGGCAAACCCCACCAGCAGCTATAATTAGGGGAAAAAACAGAACAGAGACAATGGCTGATTCACCAGCAAGGAAACAGCACTTTTCTGGGCTTTATTTGTGAGTCAGCATCAGCTCAGTGCTGGCACAGAGGCCCTGGGTGAAGACATTTCCTGCAGCTCCCGGTGACAGGGCGGGCAGTGCCGAGCTCCGGCCGCGGCGTCGCTCCCGGGCCGTGCCACGGCGCTGCCTGTTCCGCTCCCGGGGCCGTGCCAGCTCTCCAGATGTCCCAGAGCAGCTCCTTGAGAGCAGCAGCTGTTCACTCAATGGGCTGCTTTGGCAGCTTTGACGTGAGCATCACATCCAGCTGCTTGATTGAGATGCCAGCTCGGCAAAGCTTCTGCTGCCTCCTGCAAGGAGTGAGCTCCGGCGGGAGCCCACGCGCCAGCTCCCGGGTGGCACAGAGCCACACTGCACCACTGAGTCCCTGCTCTGCCTCACCATGGCAGCAGGAACACCATCCCCTCTGGGGCTGGGAGCACTGACTTTGGTCACCCTGCATGTCCTTGGAATATTCTCTCCATCAGCCTTGAAACCATCAGAATTTTGGTCAGGTTTAAGGCTTTGTGGGTACCCAGGGCTGGGTTTAGCTTTGCCCAGGCTGTGCAGAACCTGCTGTCTCATCTCAGCTGCCACCGCTGAAACAGAACTGGGGTGATGATTTCACTCCAGAAGCCCCTCAGAACTAGGCCACTCCAATACACTGGTGGTTTAGAAAAATCTTAACCTAGAACTAGTTAATGTTCAGTACCTCAGCATGTCAATTTTTAGGCAATTTGTGTGTAAGAAACTGGAAAGAAACCGCACACAATTTTAATTGCTTAATAAGAAATGGGAAAAACAAGTGTCAGGGAAAGAGGAAAGCTCAAATAGCATGTCCCAGTCCCTGTGAAAAGTGACAGTCTTCCCCCACATCAGGAACTGCCTATAACAATGCCATTAAAATAAAACTGAATGGTGAAAGCTGCAAGTACACAAGCAAAGCCATATATATGGATTTTAATGGAGCAAGGTCATGCGGATCTTTGCACAAAGCCAGAGCTGTGCAGGGGGAGGTAATGGATGAGCTGATGCAAAAGTTCCGTTTCCAGCCCCGTGACAGCACAGTTCCAGCTAATGAGCCTCCAACTTTGCTGTATTGATCACCTCCCTGAGCAGGGAAGGACTCTGTGATTACATGTCCAGAGAGCAGCACGTGAGTAAAAAACCACATTAGCTCCTGATGGAAGATGTGAATTGAATCTCTGTTGGTGACAAGGACGAATTTATGCCCAGACACTTCCTTGCACTCTGGGTTCTCATCTAATACATCACACCAGTAATGTTTCTATGAATGGAGCTGAAGATCCAGTGTGAGGACCAACCTCCAAATAAACACCGAAGGAGCAACTTCAGAATCATTTTCTCTCATTTTAGTCCAAGCTCTCCTGCTGTGCAGCAGCCCCTTTAAGCACTAGAGTTTGCATCTGAGGTGCTACACAAAGTGTCTTGGATGTGGATTGGAGACTGATGAGACCCTCAGAACTGCTACCAGCAAATTCTGGTGTTGACTCACTCCAGAAGTTTGGATTTCACCTTTCTGAGCTTCGGCTTCCCCATTTAGAAAGAAAAAAAAACCCACAGAATACCTAAAGTTGGGCCAAGCATCTCTTGTTTGCAGGGCATGAAGAATGATAACATAAGGAACAGCCTTCCAAGGGAACCAGTGCTATGGAACGGAACAGTCAGCATGGACAGTTCGCTGGGCACTAAGACATCAAGCAATGGAAGTCTGAAAACCTACATTTAAATACACTGCAAATAGGGTTTTCTTTTGTAGCTTATTCAGTAAATACTTGCCTGGAATCAGACCACACTTCAAGGACAGTAGGTGCCAACACATCATAAACATCCAATTTCCCCCCTTCACCCCAGGCCAGATAAACCCAAACCAACGTGAACAATCAACGCTCCTTCCCTCTCCAAGCTGCGCAACGAGCTTCGACAGCCCCGAGGAGCCTGTTTTACCTTTCCTGGTGCAGTTGTTGCCCTCGGGGTCCCGGGTGTATCCCTCCTGGCAGCGCTCGCAGTGGAAGCCGGTGGTGTGGTAGAGGCAGCCGATGCACTCCCCGCTGTCGGGCCGGCACACGCTGGGGGAGCGCGCCGGGTCCACGTTCCCGTTGCACCAGCACCTCACGCAGATGCTGTCCGAGTTGTAGTAGCCCTGGTCACACTGGTTGCAGTTGAGGCCCGTGTAGCCCGTTCTGCACCGGTCACACCTCGGCACGGTCTCACCAGGCTCTGGGGGACACAAAAAGGAGAGCAGGGATGTGCCGCAGCCCCTCGCAAGAGACACGGGGATCTCTCCCGCGGGACCACGAGCGGCGTCCAAGTATTAACCAGCCTCCAGCTTTTGAGCTGGAAATACAATTTTTGAACTGCAGCAGTTTTTCCTCTGTTCCTAGGGGGAAAAAGCATCCTTGGGGGGTTTCTGATGCCTCATACCAGCCTCACAAAGAGCGCTCTCAGCACATTGCTAAGGAAAGAGATCATTACTCCTGAATGCTTCCGTCTCAAACAGGTAATTTCAGAGAACAGCTGGAACTATACCGGGGATGCTTGTAATCTGCAAGAACTTTTTGGCCTATAGGAAGCCAGAAGTGGCTTGATTGCAAAACTGATTAAGGAAGTACCAAAAAAAGTTATACATATGATTATTACAGCCATGACTTCTCTCGGTTACACTGGGGAATCTCTACTTGGAGTCTCGTGGAGATGTTCAGAAGCAGGCCCAGAGCTATGGATGGCTACACAGCACTGCTGGGCATCTCTCCTGGCTGCCACAGGCTCAGCACTTTCTCTCTGCAAAATTTTGCAGGTTCTTTAGAACAGGCTGCAGCAACACACTGGGAGTTAGACCTAGACTTTTATGATCCCTTCCAACCTAAACCAGTCTGTGACTTTATGATTCTACGTTCCCTCTGCTGCACAGCTGCTCTCACAAGAGGCAGCACAAGCACCAGGGACACGTCACAGCAGGAGCTCCTTCCACAAGGTGCCCACAAACAGGGGATTCACAGCCTGTAAAACCACCTCAGTGGGCTGATGCACTCTGAGTGGCAATTTAACAGAAGAGAGCAACGTTCATTGTGAGGAATTAGAGCAAAACAAAAGCCTCACGTATGCGGCAGGTGCCGGTGGATGCCACGGTGGAGCAGGGGCAGCGCTTGCAGGTGTGGACAGGATGGGCACTGCGGTAGAAACCCTCCTTGCAGAGCTCACAGTGGTCCCCCTCGGTGTTCTCCTGGCAGTTCAGGCAGGTGCCTGGGGAAGGGAGAGGAGCACAAGCAACAGTTCAGCAGCAGGAACTGGAGCAGAACATTTGGAGCAAGAATCCGCGTGGAGTGCCCTCAATTATCGGAGCTCACAGGTGGTTTTGGATGCCCCCTGGCCAAAACACGATCCTGGCCTCTTATGACCTTCTGATGCTCATCCCCTGGCTCCACACAAACAGGGAACATGTGATAAAGCAGGTGGCCCCAGAAGAGAGGCCCCACAGCTCATCACTGAAAGGTCACTGCAGGTAAACAGGTCCTAACAGTGTTGAACTCTCCTCAAGGAAAGGAATTTCAGTTTGCCTTTGTACCAGTGAGATGGAATTTTGAAGCTTCAAGTCTCCCACACCCACAAGGGGTCCCTCAGGTTTATGTCTTCAGGGTTTGTTTTTTTTTGTGCAGCCTCTTCCTACACCCCAGAGCTGGTGATCAGGGGCAAGGATGTGCCACCGTCCTGCTTTGGGGACAGGCAGCTCCATCCCACCAGGGTGGCTCCAGCTTCTCCATCCCCAACACAGGAGAAGGCAGCAGCGAGTCACTGACCTTCCCAGAGAAACAGAGGAGAACTGGGGGCTCACGTGAGCCACCTCCCCTTCCTGGGGAAGCCCCTGAATCAGAAAGTCGACGTGCCATGTCTCAGCAGAGGCTGTGTCCTAATGGCCTCCAAATTGCATTTTGATACCACTGTGACCAGAGAAGAAAAATCTCCCTAGTTACGAAAGCACAGCCTCTATCCAAAGCCCATCCATCACCAGGAACATGCTGTAATTCAGCCAGCTCCTCAGTGAGGTGGCAGGGAGCTGAGGGAAGCTTGTGTGATTAAATTTCTGTACCACACTCCCCAAAGGCAACAGCCCCCTTCTGTAAAGCAGGGTGGCACAGAGCAGTGTATTCACCTCACATGAGAGCACAGATTCACTGAGCTGATCCAGCAGCGCTGCTGGGGGACGGAAAAGTCTCATATCAACACCAACCACAGGAAAAAAAATCCTGATTTAGGTTAATGCTGGCTGTTAAAAAGCCCACAGCAGATTTTCTTATTAATATCAGAACAGTTTGGCTCCCTCACAAGCCCAACACGCTGCATGGCTCCTGCTCCTCTCTTTCCACAGCAATGACTCTGCAGCTGAGCATCCCCAAGCCAGCCTGGAGTGTCCTTGCAGCCAATCCTCATGCCAAGGGCAGGAAGCAAACCCGGGAAGAGGCTGATTCACCCCCCAGCAGGGCGCTGACAGCACCCCCATGACTACGGACACTTGCTCAGCGTCAGCTCCCACCCACTGTTTGCTCTTCCCTCAGCAGCCTGTCAGACACGAGCCAGTGGTTTTTGTGGGAGAGATGTCAGGGTTACGAGGGGAAAATTATCTGCTGGGCTCAGTTTCTCCAGCAGCAAAGCCTGATCAGCTGTTCCAGCAGGCTGGATTCCTGGGACAGGGCAACTCATGGGAAGTTCATTTTCCCGGTCACAGCACAGGTGCCTTGGACTGTCCTCCACAGGCATTAATGGGGGCATAAATCTGGAATCACACCTGCACTGTCTGTACAGTCTTGGTCATTTCAGGACCAGTGTCTTTCCCGTGGGAAGAAATCACTCACATTTATCCCCACCAGCCCTGTAAAATGGCTGCGTTTCCATGAGTCAGCACATCGCTCACCCCTGCAATCAGGTATCGCTGTGAAAAGCCTTAATAATTAATAGCACTTCTCATCCCAATAATGCCCTCAGGAAGGATCAGACCTCACAGTACCCCAGCTGGGAAGAACCAACCCACCTCACTGCACAGGCACACCACGGGGTGCAAGGGTCGTGTTGGAGGAAGTGCTGTCGCCCGAGGAGCTCTCGCTGCCCAGTTTATTTATTTATGCCCAGTAATTTTAAATATTCCTCCTGGACAGAGCAATGCCAAGCAGGAACCAGCTGCAGAGCCGGCAGAGGGAGCCCAAAGTACAGCATTAATGGGAAAAAAAAAAAACTTGAAAATTTGACAAAGACTACATAGAGTTGATGCAAAGCTGGGGAGGTCACACAGAGTGCAGTCTCTAAAGCAAGCTGAGTGTTCTCCTTACTTATTAAGCATCAAATCTAATCTTTAATTGACTGTTCTCTGCTCTGGTTTTGTTGGGTTCCCCCCACCCCCAGAAGGAGGAAATTATAAAAAAAAAAAATATTTTTATCAAATCAACAAAAAGTCATTAACCAAAATGTGGGGTTTTCATTGCAATGCCATGGTGCAGCGATGGGCAGCAGCAGCAGAAAGGCTGCCTGAACAGCCCCATCCCAGGGACAAGGTCTGTGCTGGGTTTTCTTTAGGTTTTGTTTCATAAATCAAAAGCAGGGAGAACATTGAGGGGAAAAAAAAAGGAAGAGCAGATTATCCTCCTCCTTCACAAATCCCACACACCCAGCTCCAAATCAGCAACACAGCTGACGTGTGCACAGCTTTAGGGACAGTCTTGTATCCTTCAGTTCTGGTAGGACATAAGCACATTGAGCTCAGTAGAGGAGAGAATGCAGTAATTCATCCTCAGGGAAATGCTGTAATTCATCCTCAGGGAGCACAGATCCGGTGCCCGCCGCTAACGCCGAGCGGGATCGGGGCACCAGCACTGCAGCTGCCTGTGCCTCTGCTGCAAACACACAGCCCAGCAGGGAACACCTGGGGCAGAAACTGCCCAGAAACCCCTTATTTGATGGGCTCTGCCTCCCTGCCAGCTACACAAAAACTCTGCAGCATTACTTTGAATTATTAGCCCTTTCTAAGCTCCTGGATAGATATCACAGAACTGCGTTTCAGCAGGAAGTCTGGATGGGAATTTGGATTTTTGAGTGAGTCCTGTGGCTGAAGTGAGGGTTGCACAGGCAATCACATAACATATATCCTCTGGGATCTGCCCTTCCAGTGAAGACAGGAAAGTGATTAGGCTCCCCCCTGCCCTCCCATAAGCTGTTCAAGCACAGGTGCCTCAACATTTGCACTTCATCAAAATCTGAGTGAGAGACAGTCAAAGAAACGATATAGGAAAATGAACAAGGCCAATTTATAAAAAGTGGGCAATATTAATTAGGTGCTGCCAGTTTTTTCCAGCTCTAATCCTGCCATCTGTGGCAAAAAGTCCCCTTACGTCAGTGCCAGGTAAACAGCAGTTAAACAAAAGCTCTTAAAAAGCCCATGTTTTGTGTTTATGTAAGCATAGAGAACAATAGAGCCCTGATTTTCGATACAGACTGCTGAATTAAGGCTCTGCATTGCAGCCTGGGGTAAAACACACAGCCTTTACTGCCTTCCTTCAAAGAAGACCAGCTCCATCCTCGCCCTGCATTTGAGTTTTAAGGTAAAAATTTGGGTACTCGAGGCATAGAGATGTAGATGAAGGGGATAAAAGCAGAGGTGTGTGAAAGCAAATGGCAAAAACAAGAGAGAAGGAGACAGGTGAAGTCTGCAGCCTCTGCACTCACCTGTTGAGCTGTCGCAGGTCTGGGAGTGGTTGTTGCACCGACAGGGCTCACACGTGGTCTCGTTAAACCTGTAATATCCGTCACTGCACTGGTCACACTTCAGGGCCGTGACACCAACCTTACACTGGCACTTCCCAGAGCTGCAGAGGGAAAAACAAACACTGAAACCTGGCTGTGCTGGAAGCCATCCAAGGTATAAACCTGCGGGCAGGGTTTTGGACTTCCTTTCCTGTTTTTCCTTTCTGCTGGAAGCAGCACACGAATCCCACGAGCGACCATTTCCAAAAAGTGATAGGGAGTTCAAGAAAAGCCGAGTCTCTGCCAAGCCAGTTGCCCTGACAGCAACTTCCAGCTGGGCACCAGAAATCATGGCTCATTCTAGAAAGCCCTGGCCCAAAGCCATCCCGTTGCATCAGCCCCAGCAGATGCTCCAGCAGGCCCTTTCCAGTCCCTGCTCCACCGAGCACCGGCCCCGGGTCCTGCAGGACTCTGGGACACCCGTGGTCACTGTGCCTGCACCCACGTGGATAATGAGCTCCCCTCCACACCAGGCCAGGCAGCACCTCCCAGATTCTCACGTAAACAGAAATTTCCCTGCTCGCCACCTGCTCCACTGGGAGCTGGCACAGGATTTCTCAGGTGTCTCACTGGAGTTCCAGCCAGGGCAGGTGTCAGCTGCCTGCACTCCCTCCACTTCTCCTCCATAACCTCATTTATCCCTCCCACACAACATCTCCATGGATGGAGAGAGGGCAAAGTCTCTCTCCAGTTGACTTCTGCTACCCAGCAGAGCCAGGGAAGTACAAGAGAGGGTTTTCCCTTCCCCAGAGAAGGTTTCCACTCCAGCTTGACCCCGGACAGAAGCTGTTTACTTGGGCACAGTGTGACTGCAGAAGGGTGGAGCCCTGCACAGCGAACACAGAGGGCATTGCTGGTGGCTGCCACGAGCAAACAAATACCAGGAGCTATAAAAAGCAAAGGTTACCCTCATTCCTCTGGCTTTCCAAGCCACTCTCTCCACACAGAGGCTTCAAACCCTCTGCTTTCATAAGCGACTTTCTACCCTGGCAGCATTAGCTCAGCTCTCCCAGGAATCACAGGAATGGATGAAATGCTCTTTCCCAGCAAGCCCTGGGCACAACAGTGGCTCATCCCACCTGCACACAGGGAACAGCCAACGCCTGAGCCGAGGGGCAGGGAGCACTGAGTGCCTCTCCACATGTCTGAGAGTCCTGGGTGGACCTGCAGAGAACCTCAGCCCTGCCTGCTGCACAGGGAACCAGGACAGCAACCCAAATAAACAGGATTTGGTCTCCTCCAGGTGCTGGATTTATCTGCAGACGTGGCCGGTACCACCCACGGACACCCCTGCACGCTGCTGGATCTCCCTCCTTTTGGCTCTCCCCTTTATAACCCCCACCCTACTCAAACACCTTTTAAACACCTTTGAAATACCTTTTAAATTCAGTATTCCAGGGCTCACTGTGCCTGCACAAAGCTCATCCATTGTTCCCCTCTCCTCCAGCAGAACAGCGAGCAAGGCACAATTCCCCTCTAAAAGCCTCAGAAGAATCTGCTGATTAAAACTAATAGAGGTTTGATGCACTGTTGATGTGTTGCTTTTAATTAAAATGCAGTAGATTGCAATGTTCGGGAGAAGACGTTGCTTCTGTTAGAAATCAGCATAATTTAATATTTCTGTTGTTTGTTTGCTTGCCAAAGGAAGAGGAAACACCAAAACAGGGACCTCAGCCCAAGTGGCTACACAATTAAACAGTTCCAGAATCTGAAACCTCAGGCATATTTAATGGCCTGATTACAAGAAGGAAAAAGAAATATGATGTTTCCTTGCTCTCCAGACCATCATCTGGAAGGGCAGCAGGCAGATGCAGGATTCAAAGGGATGCTGGTAAGCAGCTCAGTATGTTTGACTTTTAAAGAGCTTTTCACAAGACCTGACATTAATCCAGACGTTGTCACAATGTTTAGAATAAGCGCAAACAAAAAGCAGCTTGTTTTTATTTGCTTCTGACTGCTACTGCACAGATATTCCTGTAAGAGGGCAGGGCCCAGGCAGAGCCCAGCAGGGAAAAGCAACTGATATGGGAAGGAAAATATGATAATTAGCCTGAAAATGCATCTTTTGGAGACGCATCCCGTGAGCAGGGTTTCGTAGGACCAGGCATTAGAGCTGCATCATCTTCACCCCCTCTGGCTTCCTCCTGCAGTCCAGGGAGCTCAGTTTTACTCCCTCCTGTCCCTGATGAAGCCTTTATCTTAATGACACCCTCCTCTTCCTCCTGGCTGACCCCCTTCCACCCAGACTCCCACTTCATTTCATTAAAGGAGGTTTATTCCCCCAGTGACCCTGCTAGAGCTCAATGCAGCATTTTGGGGCAGAGTCCCTCAGTTTTACTTGTTAGCTGAAAAATAACAGGAAAGAAAGCTGTTTTGGTTTTTTGTTTTTTTTTTTTTAAATAAGTAAAAAAGACTGTTTTGGAAAGTTTGGTTTGAATGCCTCTCGAGCAGACCTTTTTTCAACATGTTACACATGGCAAAGAGCCAAGTCCTGCATGTGCAAGAATTAAATCACTCAGCAAATATAAAGCTTTGCCTGTGGTCATTGCTTCCATAGAATAAAGCCCCCTTACAACACTCCTTTTTATAGCTCCAGCCCAGCAAAGACTGTCAGACACTTTTTAAAGCAAAGGTCAATGATATAAATGCATTGAAACCACAAAGAAAAAAAAAAATCCTGTTAACAGACCGATTGTGCCCATAAAAGTGAAGAAATCTGAAAGAAAAGACCCACAGTTTAATATTTGCACAGCAAGAACTGAACTGGATTTTGAGTATCAGCCAGGAATTTCTTTTTTGGGGGAAGCAGGGGGAAGGAGGGGGAAGGGAAGAGGGAAGCATTTGATGCAGCAACATCAATTGCTCAACTCCATTTCAGATGATGATTAACTCCACTGAAACCAGCCAATTTTTAGCACTTGAAAAAGAACTGATAGAGGGATGTGTTGGGACAAAACCAGACTTCCAGTAACCAAAGTCTCCTGCCAGCTTTGGCTTCTATTAGATTTTTATGAATATACTTATTTTAGAGACCATGTAGCTAGTGTGGATCACCAGCACATCGTCCATCAACTTTATACATGTCTCCTAATGATTAAAACCATCACCAGCACACCAGACACTGGCAGAAGGAGCTGGTGATTGTTGGTTGGCAGGGACAGACCACGTGCAAGGCTGGGATCCAGCACGGAATGACCTGACCCTCCAGGGGTGGGAACTACACACCAGGTCTGGGACACCCTCAAAGCAAGAGGGAGTTGCTTCTGATCCCCCTCATCCCTCAGGCTCCATGTTAAGCCTTGGGAGCAGCTGTCCCTGCAGGGAGACAGCCTGGGGCTGGACCAGGATGCAGCCACCCTGTGGATGCAGTCTGTGTCCCACAGACATGGGGCAGGGGGTTGTAAATAAAAGCAAAATATTGGGCCAGGGAACAGCCTACACCCCAAAATACGTCTGCAAAAGCCGTCTGGTTTCACTTCCACTGCCCAGAGCCTCCCTCCATTCCCCCAAAGGGGAACAGCCACAGGATGTGGGAAATCCCATCACTCACCAAGTGATTTGTGCCACTACTGGCAACCAAACGTTCCCCATGGCGGGATTTTCCATGGAACTGCAGCTTTACAGGTACAGAAGTTAAGGGGATGCACCAGAGACAGCCCAGCCCTCCCCTGCCAATTACTGTGGCTACCAGGAAAGAGGAGGACTGCAGATAGTTTGGACCCCACTTGGAGCAGAGCACGGAGAACAAGGAACACCTCCTGAAGCCACAAAGCATCCTGCAGGGAATTTTCTGCCAGGTCTGGCAGCCAGGGAAGGACACTCTGAAGGGACGGGCTCTACCTGGGAGCTTGGGCAGTGCCCTCACCTTGCACTGCTCAGCACAGACTGCAGGACCTCAGGGCCTCATCACAGGGGAGACAAAGCATTAAAGTCTCTGTGCTCTGAGACAGCCCACAGTGCGCAGTCACATCTGCAAGGGGTTCCCACTCCTCCTCCACAGAAACATCCTAGCTTCAACAGGGACACGACAGGCACAAGATGGATGGGAGGATGAAGAACCATGGCCTTAGGGGCTGTTGGGAGACAAGCTGTGCACGGTTAATGGTGTAACAGAAAACCCTTAGCAAGCTTCAATCATTTATTTTCTTCCTTTTTTTTTTTTTTCCCCCCTAAGAAGGAGGGAAGGGAGAAGTTAATTTTGAATATTTTCCCAGACAGCAGAAAATCCCAGATGCCCAGATCCCAGTCACAGCCCAAGGACTGCCTGACCATTTCACAGCCAGCAGAAACAGCACAGCACCAAGTTTTTGTGCCTCTATTTTTAAAACATAACAGACTGGTAAGATTTTGGGGCAGAGTGAGACAAGGAAGGAGCTTCCATGGGTCCCAAATCAGGGCATGCCCTGTGGATGAGCCCTGCAAAACCCCCCAGCTTTGAAGAAGAGTTTTGCCAAATATATTTATCAACTTCACCCTGAAGCACAGAGAACACCTACACACTCCAGACCTCAGCATCAACCAGGACCAGCCCCAGGAGAGATGGCGAGGGGCCCTTCCCCAGCCTGGTGGCATCTCCAGCTTCTTCTGCATCCCATCCCCTCCCCTTTCCCTTGGAAACCTTCAATGACAGCTATGCCCATCATTCACCCCAGCAGGGCCCGGAGGTGTTCCTGGAACAGACACAATTAACGGCAGCGACAGCGAATGAATGAGGAGAATCGCGTTGAGCTACGAGCATCTGTAAAACAACCCCCATGAAAAGGCTTTGTCACACTTTGATGGGATAAGACAAAAGGATTCTGCACAAGATTAGGAGGATTCAGAAGGGATGTCTCTAAAAATGGTGTGTTCCTCCAGCAAGCCTGGCTCCTTTAGTGCTGATTTTCTGTGATGTCTGACAGCAGCCAGGGGATGAATCTCTCTTACATTTTCCTGGTAAAGGTGGAAAAGTATACATTTGAAAGCTAAATGCTCCAAGACACTTTGGTGGAAAACCAACACTGTTAATACTCAATCATAGAATGATTTAGGTTGGAAAAGACCTCCAAGATCATCGAGTCCA